CCACCCCTCCCTCCTTAATGTTTGTTATGGTATGAGACTATGGGAATTGAAATAACAAAAACAAAAAGGTGGAGTGGCAATTAACAAGGACCTTGTTAAGCAGCCAGTTAATCTGACAATGTAAAGTGGTATGGCAAGCTAACATAGTTGAATCGATTGGCTTATCCTACACTAGGTTTAGGGTTTTCGACTTGGTTCCCTTTTCCAATGGGCTTTGTCTTGCAAGTTGCAACCAATCATTTTTCTTGTTTAATCTAATCTATCTAGAGTTTCGTTTTCCCTTTTTCCAACCCTATATAAATAAGCTTTTTAAAGCTGGGTTGTGACCCTATACAATCGCTTCCACTATTTAATCTGTGTCCTCTTCTTACCACGCACGCCTTTACAGAAACATAGGGCTGAGACTGGGACCAACCTTGGCCGTCTGAGATACCATGATAAAGAGGAGACGCATTAAAGACGAAGCCATGACATGTTGAATAGAATACACATCTCTGCCCTCTGTTTGTGACGTGCCGGTATGATTGAATGTGTCTGTCTGATCAAAATTATAAAAAATAAAAAAGGTTAAGCCTTCTTCAAGGTTGATGGATCATGTATCTATTTTATAAGTCTCATCACATGACACCCGACTTCCATATATTTTTGTTTTGCTTAGCATTGGCGTTGCCACAAACTCGCCACCAATTGTTTGTGGGTCGGGAGGTTTCTATCAATGTCTCAATGTTCTAGTAGGATTCAAAACAATTTTGCCCACTTGATTACAACTCTGTCCTACTGGTTTCACAACAATGCCTGCCCTCCATGTTCTCGCTAGTTCCTAATGATTTAGGTTTAGATTAATTAAGCTGTGCAATCAATCTAAAAATGGAATGGGAGCAGCAGTGATGTATCTGCTTTCCCCGTTACAGGTTGGCGTAGGCCCTACATCAATCTTCTTTAACCCCAATTTTCTGTTTTGGCTACATTGAGCATATTCTTCAACAGTGTTCCCGTGCCCCCCCCCCCCCCCCCAAAGGCCTGATCTTATTACTGCCATCCAAATAGTAGATGAATTTTTTAAACATAAAAAAGAGGTTTCAGACGTTGGAATGGTTAGGATCATTAGACCACCATGCCTTCAATGGAAGTCATTTGACAACTCAAATCTATAGTAACAGCCAATTTGTTTCATGAAAAGTTACAAATAGGTAAATAAATCACAAGTGTTTCTTCAGAGTTCCAATTCTCATTGAACACAATAACCAGGCACAAGATTGTAATAAAAACGCTTGGAACTGCATACCTGAGCAAAAATCTGTTGAGGTACAGAGCTAGCTGCAATGAACTTCAAGGTTGTACAGCCTCCAGAAGCTTCTCATAAACCTCTCTGGCAGACAAATCCTCAACCTGAAGAAACATTTAAAATATTGGGAAAAGAAGTCCACCAAAACACCAAGAAAGCAAAAAGAAATACAGGAAATGATAAAGAAAAAGGACCATTTTCCTCTATTGGGATTAAAAATCAAAATGAATTCTTGTTTAACCTAAGATAGGAAAGGACAACTGTCCAAGGTGGAACAAGGAAACGAACATCATTCACTCTTTTAGGGTAAGAAATTTTATCTTCGTTTCCAGCTTTTCTTTTAGGCTATGTTTGGTTTGAAGGAAAAAGTTGGGAAAGGAAGGGAAAGACAGGGAAACCAATACAAGGTTTGTAAAGGTTTCCCTACATTTTCCTTCAAACCAAACATAGCCTTAGGGTAAGAAATTCAGAGATTCTTAAACAAAGCCAGGATCTGTTGCAAGAACTTCAGATGCTGATTCCCATATAGCTTGGTTCTTTCGGTTAATGAGATTTGAAAACCTTCCAAGTGTCATAATGTTTGTTTGTGTGAGTTTTGCATGTATCAAATTATGCAATTCAAAGCTGCTAACAGATTTCTACCAAACCCACCTCTTCCATGTTGCCCACTCAATTTTAATGTTAATGAAAAATCAAATTCAAATGAAGTTGCAAAAAGAAAAGAATCAGTTTCCTATGGCATCAAAGCTTTAATAACCACAATTCAGTTAGCACATTGCCATGTAAAGGCATAATCTTGAAAACTTGAAATATGAAAAAATGACCACATCTAAATGTAAAGGACGCATTCCTCCATATTTAACAGTTAGATTTATCTCATACCATAATGTCGTACCAAGGCTATGAGTCTATGACATAAATGCTGATAAAAATTTTAATTGCATAGACTGCTTAGGGAGAACTGATGACTTGATAGTTGAAATGTTCAATCAGTTCAGCATTACTCCAAAGTGAAGATGCAGAGTTAACTCCGCAAAAATCCAAGTTTTCCATCGCATGGCCACTGAACTTCACGTGCACCCTGCTCTGTCCCGACTTGAATCCTTACTTACCTACTGACTGATTGACCCAAGTCCCAACTATTGGAATACCAAAAAAAAACAATGCCCAGGGATGAAAATTTGCTAGGAAATCACATATACATCCCATATCTGCTTACGTCCAAAACAAATACTACATGAGTAGCAAACTCACCACAAGGAGCTTTGATTTATTATTCCACCCCCTTTGAAGAGTCATCTGGCTCAGCCTTAGACCCAAAACCTGTGTGAAGAACAAAAGCCTGTAAGCTCCAGCTTTATGCTTTCCATAAACATATTTACAATGGAGTAGGTATTCCCTTTAGCCTAATAAAAGAGATGAAACACACTTTGCCCATAAACTCCAACAGCTCATTGTTGGCTTCCCCCCGGGCAGCAGGTGCAGCTACAGTCACTCGAACATCATCAGCATTTACTCCTAATATGGGTGAATTACATTAGAGGTTCAGTAAGTTGTTTCTTTCGACAATGTGATGACTAAAAGCAAATTTAAAATCTAAAGCATAAGCCCATTGTTGTCTTCAAATAATGTTTTCATTGTTTCTCCCTTTTATACATGTGTAAGTAATAACATCGTAGTTGGATGTTTGTGAGGAAAGAAGGAATTATGTTAAACAATATCAAAGGATTTCTTTGAAAAAGAGAATGGACATGGTATTTCTACATTCAATGGAAATAAAAATGTTTAGGAAGCCGCATGCATGACAAATAAAACAGATCAGGAGAATCAATAGCAACCCTTCCAATACAAGTGGTTGGTTTTCTCAACAAGAAGTGTCAAGTACATTTAAGTTGATGCTATATATAAAATGTAAAGATGTTAGATCAAGTATATATAAAATATGGATATAAGACAATTATATTAATTACTTGTGACAGCAGAACGTTGTGCACGGTCCTCCACTTCTATTGCCACTTGAACAAGGCCACCTTCTAATTGCGATATGCAGGGTGGCACAGGAGCATCCTGCATACATTAAAAACCCAAAACAATAGTAAATCAATTTAGAACATTAAAGTCATGGATGGCAGAGTACTTGTTGTCTTAAAAGAAGGATGAACTTCGTTTGCAGGGAAAACTACTAGATTGGGAGTGAAGATGCCCCTTGACTGCAATTTTGGTGCAGAAAATAACCAGCACCATTACAGGAGGGAAAAGAAATAGGGTAATACCAAGAAAATTTTATAAATTCTGCTCCACAAGAATAAAGCAAGCATCAAGTAGTCCAAGCAAAAGTTGCAACGACTCGGGTTCAATGCTATTTGTTAATGCACACTTCCTCCTTGTGATAGCAGAATTTAAATGAAACTGCTGGAAGGCCTGACCGCCTGAGTAACCAGGAAGATTAAGTCTTCACAACTTACTGCATAACCACCTCTGTTTTGATTGACTGACAGGAAGAAAATAAGCATTTCTTATCATTAACAATGATCAGATTTTATTGCAAGAAATATGTGAATATACAAGTTAGTTTCCTACCCTAATGTTGAGAAGGGAACTGGAAACAAAAACAATAAAGGTGAAGGACAGAAAAACCCCACATTGGCTTTTTTGGAGAAAGAGAGAGAGGTATTTAAGGATTTTTCTGGGTGCAACAGGAAGGAAGAGGGGCTTTGTTGTATTTTCCCTTAGGCATAGAGTATGGTACACTTTAAAGGGCTTTAACATGAACTGCCCTCCTTTTGTACACTTCTATACTTTCTATCCTGCAAAGAAATCTTCTTTGATTGATTAAAAAACAAATGAAAAAGCAAGTTTACAGTTTTTCTTTTTTGTATTTTATAAAGTAAGGAAATGAAATAAACGAGACGTGAATAACAGGATATATTTCTATGAGATGGAAGTTTCTTATACCTGAGGATTGGTTTCTGCTGCAACTGAGCTAAGTGAACCATCAACAATGTAAATAAAAGGAGCAGTTTCCAAATCTTCTTCTGCACGGTAACAAACAAAAAGTCCACAACCCATACAGCTCATACGGAATTGTTTTTCCAATTTCCCTTCGCCACTGGATAACAAAGATTGACGGTTCATATGAGCTCCAATGTCTGTAAGAATAATTTACTTGTAGCTTGAAACCCTAATAACTAAATGCAAAATAGTTGCTAAGCTTGAAGGTTCAAAGTTATTTCATTGATGACAACACCCAACTACCTGAAAAATACAAAAGCAGTAAATTCTGGCCAATTACATGGATCAGAGATATATTCTCTTTCTTAGAAAAGAAAATGTTGAACAATTAAGAAAATGAGTGGAGAAACCAATATGATGCTCCAGAATCATCATAATCATCATCCATGCCTTATCCCAACTATATGGGGTCCGCTAGATGAACCCATATAGTTGGGATAAGGCATGGATGATGATGATGTTGATTTTGGAGCATCGTATTGGTTTTCTCCACTTCTTTTCTTAATTGTTCAACATTATATTTTCCTAAGAAAGAGAAGATATCTCTGATCTATGTAATTGGCCAGAATTTACTAGGTTTATATTTTTCAGGTAGTTGGGAGTTGTTGACACAACGGAAATGAAAATGTTCCATTTCCACTCATGACATAATGTGATAACATCTTTGCTTCAGGTGGGTAGGGAGCATCAAATACATAAAAATAAAAAGGTTATTTTTACAAATACCGTTTTAGAAGAACTTTTCCTGCTTCATTGGTATTCAACCTCGCGAGATGCTTCTTCTTGTCTAGCACATGTGCTTTATCGGTTTTCCTTTTTGGCATTTTCTGCAACTGAGTATCTTGGAACCAATATGGTTTAGTAAGAAGGGCAATTTACTATTTGGGGAAATTTCTATTCAAAGAAATATACAAAATAAATAGACGTGTTCAGGCCTCCAAAACAGAAATACAAGGGTCTCGAAATATTTATACACATTATTCTCTGCATTCAATTAAGAACAAATCAAACAGATTCTGAAACCAATTTTGTTCATAAAAATAGTGCGACCACAAGTCCTTCTACATAGACCACCCAACGAGTGATAAGGAAACGTCTATCAAAAACTAGTTAAGAAGAACGAATCCATGGCCATAGTTTTTCCAAAATCACTTGTCTCGGGAACCAAATTTAAACACAGGCTAGACGGAGAACTATTAGACATCCTATTTACCCGTAAAAGCAGAGAGAATTGAGAAAAAATAAAGGAAAAAAGTTTTCAAATACCAAAAGTACGACCCTGGTATCCAGAAAGAACCAAAACCCCAGGGTGAAAACAACAGAAACCGGCGTTCGATCAAGAGTTTCGAGTTTCATGGAAACAGCGATCTTCAGATTTGGCAGCATAGATAGATAATGAACGTAGTGGAAGAAACCCTAGAAACGTAAACACAGGGACGACAGAAGAAAGATTATAATGATGATGTAGAAAGAGAACCTGTTATGAGGACATGACAGCCGCAGTGTTTGCAATAGTAGACGAAGAGGTCGGACTGAAGGCCATCGGGGGCTGCATCTTCACTCGAGTACGTATGGGTTGTCCTCTTCGGCATGCTCCCAGTCTCTCTTTCTCGTTCTCCCCCACTTCCCCTGACCTGACCCTGTTCGTCAGTGCTACTGCTTCCCCTCCACTCTAACCAAGTAACCAACTTAACTTCCCAGGCCCCTTTTCGATGTCGAGAGTAACCGAGCCGTCATGTCAATGGGTCGTATTTGGTTCGGGTCGTGCTGTACCGGTACCGAACCGATTTCCATATGATAGACCCATAACCGTTACAATACAGTCGGGTCTGACCCGATTAAACTGCTACACTTGTTTTGGATTCGGGTTAGCTAAATGTGATGGCTGTTTAGCGGGCTGTGAAACCAATGATGAGGTCTACGCCAGTAACCAACCAACTTACCTTCCCGGACCCCTTTTGGATATCGAGAGTAATGGAGTTGTCATGTCGATGGGTCGTATCTGGTTCGGGTCATTCTGTACCGGTACTAAACCGATTTCCATATGATAGACCCATAACCGTTACAACACAATCTGGTCTGACCCGATTAAACTGATACACTTGTTTTTTATTCGGATTAGCTAAATGTGATGGCTGTTTAGCGGGTTGTGGAACCAATGGTGAGTTCCACGCCAGTAACAAATAAACCGGCAATTACGACCCCAATCCATCTGACCCACCCAATCCATCAATTCTAATGATGAGTCAACATGGATCGAGTGACCCATTAGGGTCAAGGTAGGATTGGGTCAAGGGTTACCCATTGACCCTCAACTTAAAGACTAAACTTGGACACTTTGACAATTTTCTTCTTAGGGTTTTCTTCTTCTCTCTTCTTCTCAGTTAGGACTTCACAAAACCACCAATGATCACTCCCGCCGCCACCGTTCTCATTATTTAGGGCCCGCTTTGAATCAACAACATTGATGTTTCCTTCTTCTAAAATATTGATGTTGAGAAAGAAACAGAGGAGAAGATTGACGCCAACAATTGAACGAAGGAAGGAGCAACAGGGGCGAGCAAGATGATGCCAACAATTGAACGAAGGAAGGAGGAGAAACAGGGATGATTGAACAGAGGAAGGAGGAGAACAGGGGCAAGCAAGATGATGTCCGCGAGTGCGACGGGACCATCTGATCTAGAGGCACCGCCGCAACCATTTTTTTGATATTTTTTTTATTATTTTGTATATTTTATGGATTTTTTGTTTTTTTTTTTGATAAATCATTTTAGTTGAAATATATAATGAGGATCGGATGATTATTATTTAATCATTTTCTATGAATATTTTCTGTAATTTTTCTTTTATTCTATTCTTTGGTTGAAATATATATATAAAATTTTATCTATGTATTTTTTCTATTTTTACCTGAAATATATAATTTTTGGAGATTTTTATTATCATTTTCTGTATTTTTTGTGATTATTGTTTTTAGTTGAAATATACAATTTTTTGGGTTTTATATTTAATTTATTATTCTACAATTTCTGATTTTTTTGGACGAAAATATATTTTTTAAAAATTTTGATTATTTGTATGTTTTCAGTAATTTCTATCAATTAATTTCAGAAAGTAGATTGGAGATGCTTGAGGTAGTGATAGATATGAATAAAAACTTGGGAAAATAAACATTTTGGTCAAAATTAACTATATGAGCATTTTGGACATTTTTGTTCTTCAGTGGTGGTGATTGCAACTTCTGCCCGTGAATTTGGCATCAATCCACGGGCAAAATTCAGTCCACCCCTAGAAATCTTATCTCCACCCTAGGGGTGGACTGAACTATAAAAACTCCAAACTTTTTAGTATCAGTTTCCACTAGCGTTTAAAGGGAGAAACCTTTAACCAGCAATCACGCAGGTAGCCCCTATAAACTACATCCTGCATATGAATTTGGCATCAATCCACGTAGAAATCTTATCTCCGCCCTAGGGGTGGATTCAACTATAAAATCCCCAAACTTTTTAGTATCAGCTTCCACTGGCGTTTAGAGGGAGAAACCTTTAACCAGCAGTCACACAGGTATGGGGCCAGTTGTAGAGTGACACAAACACCAAAAAAATAAATAAATTTGTCTTTAATCAACCTGCAGAAGAGTTTATGCCATGTAGCCCTGCTACATACTCGGTGACTTAATTACGATCACTTATGGCTGTCAAATGCTCGTCAATCTCCTCCATAGACAACACTCTCAAACCTGTATTTTATTTGTGTTTGGCAACATTACATTCATGCATTGATAAATGACAGATCAATGCATAAGTATATTAATAATAAGATGTAAAAGTAAATTTGCATTCAAGTGGGATTTTGATAAAAAAAAGCATATGCTTTTTTGAAATTCATGTTTGCATCCATTACAACTAAAAGTCTGTTTGGTAAGAAGGTAAATTTGCCAGTACAAAATTAACGCAACTTTGTGATTTATATGAACTGTTTTATACTCTACATATTTGCATTCACACTTATTTGCATCATTTCCAAACGCACCCATAGGAGAATTGCAGCGATGTAAATTAAGAACCGATTTAAAATTTACATCGGTTTGGTTTTGTAGGTGTTTGGAAGGAGCGTGTAATTATGATCGACGTAAAACTCCATTCCGGTTCAGTTTTGCATGCATTTGGATGGAGTGGAGTTTTATGACGATAATCAATGTAAAACCTCATCAAGTATAAAGTTTTACATCGATAATCGATGTAAAACTTTACACTCTTTCACCCATTGCATTTTTTAAAAAGCAATGGTCACTTTCATGGTTTAGTGTAAAAACACTATCAATATATTTTTACACCAATGGTGCTTTACACTGATTCCAAACACAGCCTAAGAAATTAATTGCCTCTTGTTCTTTTAAGCCAGCACTTGTACCCTTATGACCAAAGAAGTGACCAGCTTCTTCATCAATGCCCAAAACCATAACCATATATAGCAGCTACTCCAAGAGGGCTTTGCGCTTTTCTACGACTCATGGTCAAGTTCCTCGATCTATTATTAGACCTAGGGCTTTGCGCTTTTCTCTAAGGCTCTGTTTGGTTTGTGGGAAGATTTGGGTGGGATGGGAAAAAATGGGATGGGATGGGATGTGGAAGTGTAAAAATTTAACTTTTCAGTGTTTGGTTTATATATGGGAAAATAATAGGAAAAGCATGTCATGACCTAGTTCTTCGCCAAAAGAAGTAGAAGAAGAAGGTGAGGGAGGAAGACGAGAAGAATAGGAAGAAGAAGAAGAAGAAGAAGAAGGTGAGGGAGAAGAGAGAAGAGGAAGATGGAAGGAGAGACGAAGAATAGGGAAGGTAGCAAATCAATGGTAGTAGGGTAGCAAATCGCTACTGCTTGGTTCTCTTGCCACCGCCACCTCTTTTGTTCGATGGTAGCATATCTCCGCTGCCTGGTTCTCTTGCCACCGCCGCCTCCTCTATTCGAATGGGGAAAGCAATGAACAGTGGTTCCTTGCCAGTATCTAGTGAAGAAAACAGTGGAGAATAGATCGGGTCGCACTGTTTGTCGCCGTTGTTCATCATCGTTCGTATTCGTCGCTAGAAAGCAATGAACAATGGTTTCTCGAGTTTTTCCTCCGGAGTTGCACTATTTTGGTGCAATCCCAATTCCACGATTTTGGGATCTCGCATCCCACATTTTTCTCATCCCATCCCTCTACTTCCCTCAAAACAAATAAGAGAAAAGAGAATATTTTTAGAATATTCCCTTTTTCTCATCCCCATCCCACAAACCAAGCAGAGACTAATAGAAATTATGAAGGGAGTGGAATAAAAAAAAACTTTATGTGCAAGAAACTAGATGGTTGGTTAGTAAAAAAATTAGATGATACATGAAAGATATTTTTTATTGTCCATTAACAATTTTGGACTAATCTAACTGATGCCACACAATTTGAATGCTCCCTCGTGTACTATGGCTTGGACCTTGACTGTATGTCAATCTGGCAAGGTCCGAGCTGTTGTCTGGATGTTCGAGCTAAAGCGAGCTGTAAGGGAAGAAGAGTGAGAGTGCCCAAGTAGTTTTTACCCGAGAAGAGCACTCCGATGCTTAAGTCAATAAGTAAATGGGGATTTCTCTAAGAGTGTGAGAGAGTTTGAGAGTATGAGTGTGTGTCCCTCCCCAGGTGAATTCGAGCTTCTTTTATAGTCATCAGAGGTTCACGGTGCTTTGGCAACGTCCCTGAGTTTCTGGTAGAGTTGTTTCCACAATATAAGGCGTATTAATGTGTCGGTTACTAGATCTGCGCAATGGTTATAGTTCGTTCACTTAGATTGTGGTGCACAATACGACGAGCTACTCCAATGGTCACGATATCGTCGGCCTCAGGAGCAGGATGTGGGGGCGGTTAGACAAGCTCACCTTCGTGGGTCTTCTTACCTCGCCTCAGCTCTGCTAACTTCTTTGGCTAGGTCACCAGCAACCTTAGAGGCCCTGCCAACTCGCCCTTGTCGAGGTCAAGAGCTGTTTGAGCGAGGTGCTCCGTGCTAACCTACCAAGTTAGTACGCTGACTTGGCACTGCACTGTCAATAATGGCCACGTGTCAAGACCAAATTCCCCCTCATCACTAACAATTTTCGGAAATTCATATGATACAGTGACACACTTTGCTGGTGTTTGGCATGCAGAGCTGTTATCTAAGAAAACCATGTTGTATTTGTTGCACCATTTTTTGAAAAAACGGTTTCTTTTTATTGTTTGGCATCGGTGCTGCCACAGAGAATATTTTATGGGGAAAAACATATGCTTTATTTGGTATCAATGCCCTATAATTGTTTTCAACCACATATCGACATTTTCTGAAAATAACAAGATGCTAGTACAGTTGGCAGCAACGATTCTGAAAATAACAAAACACCAAATTCGACATTTTCTTCACCCACGCTTTTCCGAATTCGAATGCATGGCCGTTTTCCGAAACAACCGTTTCAAACAAAGGCTGCGTTTCTTGGCACATCATTTTTTCTGATGTGGCACAGACGTGGAGCCGTTTCTGAAGCAACGGCATCGATGCCAAACACCGCCTTTAAAGTTCGCTCGGGTTTGACTACCCCTAAACGAGGTGGGAGTCTGGGTCTTCGGCATTGAGACTGGAAAATCGGGGAAAAAACCGTTCAACCGGAGGGTTGAGAGCTGGTAAGGCTTGCGGCAGCTGTCAGCTATAGCCTATAGAGTAACAGATCAGAATAGAGATTGACAACCGCAAACCAGGTAAGTACTGCCATCTTCTTTCCTCTGTAAAACGACATGGCGCCCTTTTTTTATCATCTTCCGTCTCTCTAAAACGAAACTGCAACCTCCATCATATTTTTCTCTGAAATTTCATGTTTAGAGCTTTAATTGCTATCTCATTTCATTCATTCCTCTCGCAATTTTCTACGATTTTGTTTTTCCCCCTCTCCTGTTGTTGTATAAAGAAGAGATGAGGCGACTGGTTATGTTTTGTTCATTTAAATTGGAACCCGTTCGCATCTGTGAGATCTCCTTTTTAAAGAATATTGCAGCTATTGTCTGCATTTAATTGCATAATGTTTTGATGAATTTATGCTAGCCCTAAAGTCCCTTACTGAACGACTTATGAAGTAATGTTACTGCTAACGTGATAACGTCTAACATGTGCGTATCAAAGAAAACGTTAGCTAGAGACTCTTCCTCTCATGGTAGCAATGATGTTACTGGTCGTGACTATTTTGTAAGGTTTTCTAGATCTGCCACACGTTCATTGGCAATTCACATCAGCTTTATCCCCCAGCCATCAGTTAATAACATATCTATTAATGTATAAAATCAAGATTTTTTATACTAGATGGCCTTCTTTAGCTATATGATGAAACCATTGGGTGATGAGGCCACTTTAAGTTGCACATTCAGAGTTAGGTATTTCTTGTTTGATGGACTCCTGAATTTATTTGTATTTGGCATTCAATCAATGCATAACTGAAACCTTTGATTTGAAAGATTGTTTCCTTGAGTAATGGTTTTTGTGCTTTGGTTTATTATTCTTATTCTTCCATACAACTAATTCCTTTTATAGCATTGTATGTATGATGATTTTATAATCTTTTTTCATGGATGTGATTTTATTCTTAATTTATGTTTGCTAACTACCCCTGTTGTAGGCTGATACATCTTGAGTTTGTGCAAAAATGTCAACCTTCATGCTGAACTGCCTAGCCTCTTCCTTCAGCCTTTTAAAACTTTTGGTTTCTTTTGTAACTTATGGTAGAATTGATCCTTTACATTTAAAGAGGGGAAGAAAATTGATCTTTTCCCTTTCACTTTCTGTTCATTTAGATGGATTGGCAAGGACAAAAGCTCTCGGAACAGCTGATGCAGATCTTGCTCGTCTTATTTGCCACGGTGGCTTTTGTCACTGGTTACCTCATGGGTTCATTCCAGATTATGCTGTTCATCTATGCAGCTGGAGTCATCCTAACCACTTTGATTACTGTTCCTAACTGGCCCTTCTTCAACCGACATCCTCTCCAGTGGTTGGATCCTATTGAAGCCGAGCACTATCCCAAGCCTCAGCCAGTAGCGTCAAAGAAGAAACCCACTAAGCAATACCAGAAGTAGGTCATTTAACAAATGTTATTAGGTGTTAGGCTGTCTTTTCTCCTTTTTCTCCCTTTAGATGAAAAATCTTCTATCTTTTTTTTTTTTTCAAATGAGCAGTGTTTAGTTGTGCTTGTATTCTGCGATAATAGAGATACTTACTGTTCTGTTCTGTTCTGTTTKTTTTTTTTTTTTTTTTTTTTTGGAGAAAAGATTACTGATCACACTATGCAAGTATAATTAATAGTTGAATGCCAACAAGAGAGAGGGAGGGAATTTTTTTGCACGTTGTGTTTATTTATTGTTTCCTTACCTTCTAAATTCTAAGGGTCCTTCTGGTTGGCAGTTGGAATTGGAATCGGGATGGTCTATTCCCATAGTCTGTTTGGTTTAGATAGGAATCAGAGAATGGGAATTGGAATCGGCTGGAATGGGATGGCCATTCCCTCAAATGGGGGAATGCCATTCCACCGGGAACGGGAATGGGATTCCGATTCTGCCCAACCAAACAATTGGAATTGGAATGGTCCATTCTGATTCCAATTCCAGACCCTATTCCCACGAACCAAACAGACCCTAATTTTATTTGTTTGGATGTTATTTTAGTCAATCGTGCAGGTTCCCTGTCATCAAAAGCTTACCGCATATATTGTTGTTTCAGAATGAGTCATGTTCCAACATCTCTTCACCATTGCAGTTTAAATTCCCAAGCATAGTTTGTGGTGAACTTCATACCATTGTGGCAAGACTCAACTGTCTTGTGTCAATTTGGGGGTTTGGTCTAATTGCATGATGAACCAAAGTTGATAATTGCTTGGTTAGCTTCAAGTTTCTGATTCCCCATCTGAAACAGCAAAAAATGAAGGATTTCCCTCAGTTAATTTTGAAAAGATCAGATGGCATTGGACAACCTTCTGTCAAAATGCCCAATCTAAGGTAAGGTGAGTGATTTGGGTGGTCACACCTAGGCACTTGCCTCATGGAACAGAAGATCGCTCAGTGACCAGGCAATTATTTTATTTTGGGAATTTAGACATCTGTATCATTATATTTAAAAAATTAATAAAGGCAATGAAAAACAAGTCCTATTTTATTTTATTATTGTACAAAAGTGTATAGGATATTCAACTAGCCTATTGCTATCAGAAAATCTGGCCTCTGTGTCTGCCCAATTGGAAGTATAAATATTAGTTTGATTAGAATAGGCAAACTGATGTCCGGTCAATGCCCAGCCTTTAGGAACTGCTTGTTCAGTTAGGAGAATATGTTAACATGCATATGTTATTTATATGTTATGCAGATTTCAAACAAGAGTATTTGATATCACTTGCGCATAAGCCAGTCAAGGTTTAGAATTATGTTGTTCACACACTTCAAAATGGAGGCATTACCCATTTCTAATGCTTTGTCTGTGTTCTGGAGAAGAAGGTCTATTTTTGTCATTGCCGGAGAAGAAAGCCTCTTTTCGCTGTCGCAGGGGGAGATCAAATCTATTAACCAGTTGATTGCTTGTGCTTACTAGGCCTTCCCAAACTGCTTTTTTAAAATATACTCATCAGTTTGCTGCAAACTCTCAGATTCCTGAGCCTCTTTCTCCCTCTCCCATGGCACCTTTTGCTTCTTCTCTGTAACACTCGAACAACAACAGCAGGAAGAAGCTCTACAGAGGTATATAGCTCTTAATGGGGTTGATGCTCGTGAGCAGGCACCAAAAGAGTGGAGGCGGGCTCTCAACCAGATGGGTTTCTCTCTTCTGCATTTTGAGCTTCTGTTTGGAGTTCTGGTCGTTAATAGGTCATCTCTCTCCTGCTTGCTTTCTCCCTGTCTGCTATGTTTTCTTGGATGAGTCGCACAGCCCCTTTTGGCTCTGACTTTACAAGGAACAGAGTCTTGGAATTGCAGAAACTTTTCTAGGGCAGCCATCTCGGTTGAAGTTTTTGGCAAACTAAAATGGTGGGCCAACATAGGAGGGCGGTGACCAGCTTCTCCATTCTAATGGACAACATTATCACTCAGTTAAGAAAACCAGATGATTAAATGCAACACAAACAAAAAAGAACCCAATCTGCAAACACTTCCTGATTGCCACCATTGATATCTCTGAGTCTTTTTAGTCCTGTTAAATTCTCAGAAACAAGTGCAGAGTTGTCCCAAGAACCAATTGAAAAGCCTGGGATGTAACCTCGGTTACCAGCATTACTGTTTCCAAAGCTACCATCATCAGAGCTACTTCCCCCAATACCCTCCTCAGCAATCTGAGGCATTGGCCCCGAGGAAGAATGGGTCCCGGATGAGAAGCTTATCTGACCCTTCAACCAACCAGTCGTTGGAGCTGTTTCTCCATTACAACCATTCCCGACTCGGAAATTCCCCATGCCCCTCATTACAGCAAAGCCTGCTTTTTGTTAGAAGTTTTTAGTACTTGTTCTCAAATAATTCTTTCAAAGTTCAGAAGGGAAATTTCTATTGCAAAGCTTGGACATGAGATATTATCAGAGCTATTACTTAATTAATGCAGAAATTAAAAGAAAATAAAGGTTTTCTGTATATAACTCAATTTCTAAGATACTTAGAAATCGAGCAAATAATTAGTTTAAAGGTTTTCTCTATATAACTCAATTTCTTTCTGGTCAACTTTACTCGAATTCAGCAAATAATTTGTTTAACAGAAAATAATGGATGATTAATTCAGATAAGAAAATTTTTGTAGAACGCAAACCAGAGCTTGATAATGTGAAGGCATACTAGATTGGAAAGTGATTAGTAGAGAAGAGATCCCAACATTTTGAGGGAGAAAGCAAACAGGAGAGAGATGACATATTAACGACCAGAATTCCAAAACAGAACTCCAAAACAGAAGCTCAAAATGCAGGAGAGAGAGAAATGTGAAGGAACCTCAGAGGGGATTACCGCTGCTGTTGTTAGTGTATCGTAAAGTTGGGAAAGATGAAAAGTGTTTTTTTTGTCCAAATAGTTATTATAAGGGTAATATGAGGATTAAAAAATATTATAAGGGCTTTTTTGGATGAAAAGCTAATGGAAGGGGGGTCTTTGTCTCACGGTCATGGTACAGGAAGTCTTTGTCACAGACCCCATAGTACAGGGGGGTCTTTGTAATTTACCCATAAAAAATTATACTATTGCTCTCTTGGTTATAGTGGAGTTAGAGGCACTATTGGGGTTTCAGACATTGAGAAAATGGTATTAATATGGTTAACAATCCTCAGATCTGGTGTGTAATATAGAAATGTGGTTATAATCTGTGGTAAGGGCATCGTCATCTCAAGCCAACTAATGGATCCTGTTTGAGACATCGTAAAGACATGCTATTGACCTGAATTTGTCTGCTTTAAGCAGTGATTGAATAAAACTTAATTGGACTTCAATTGACCAAAGGTCTTGCTTTCTTTATTTCTTTTTAGCATAAATAAGCAGTTTCACATGTAAAAACAACTCACACTATATTCAGCCAAGTAACCTGACCTCTTTAATTGGCACTAATGGCTATCAAGATGTAGTGACAGCCGTGCAGAAACCAGCCTCCTGAAAAACATAGCCGAAGGACAAAGAGGGACCTTTGGTTGTTCTCAAAAGATGACAGTGCGATCCAAAATTGAACTATTAAAGGCTCTTATTCTGGACTGGACATCCATAAAGTTCAGAACTACTGCATCCAATTATCCAGTTTTGGAGAGCTAGGAGTCGGAGTACCACGGTCCACAAGGATATTTGTTGCAGTTCATATCTCAATGGTGTTCGTTGAGTTTAGGTTGGAGTCATCTCTTCATTGATCAGATGGAAGACACTAAGGGGGTGTTCGGTGTTCTCCCGTTTAAATGGGTTTCTTTGTTTTAATTTTAAGAAAATTGGTTATTTGGGTCTCACAGTCACAAGTAACCTTTTTGTGGGGTTTGTGTTTAAGTGTTGTTTTCTTTAAAGAAAACAAAAGTCGTTACGTTATTGTTATGATCTCCATATGGGAGCCTGGTTACTGCCTACTGGTTAGACGTTGGGAAGCTCGGACAGTTGAGCTTGGGCCTGGGAAGCTGAAACAATGGAAACTGATGAGGGCGGATTTGGCCCTCCAGTGAAAATATGACACCCACCTGGTACCTCATGCCAACTAAGTGCAGCCTCTTGATAATTAGGTAGCTCGCCATTTAGGGGCAGTTCGGCACTTACAAGCAGCCTAGCGTCTTACGAAGAGCTCGCCACTTAGGGGCAGCTCGGTATAGGTAGCTCGCCACTTAGGGGCAGATCGACATAGGCAGCCTGGTGTCTTACGAAGAGCTCGGCACTTACAGGCAGCTCGGCATAGGTAGCTCGCCACTTAGGGGCAGCTCGGCGTATCGCGGGAAGATCTCCTGCCTAACAACCGTACCTGATAGATCCGGAGACCTGTGCCCACGTCTCTCGCCATGCGGTGCCGTGCCTGCCAGCCCTGAGAGCTGTCCCTTGCCTGGCAGAGCCGTACCCTGCGACAGCTGCCTGCACCCGCCACCTCAGTTCTGGCAGTAACGGCTGCGGCAAAGAAACAAAGGTGGTTATGCCTGACTTGACAAAGGCAGTTACGCCTAATTTGACTGGACACCGCTATATAAGGACTCCGACCCCCAAAGACAAAGGAGAGGAGGAAAAAGGAAGAAGAGGAAAAAGAGGAAAAAGGAAGGTAATCCTTGCTCTCTAGCTCTCTCATTTCTCTAATATCATCTTCAAGCTCTCTACAATCCGAGTGCTAACTTAAGCATCGGAGAGTCCCCGCCGGGTAAATACCCCCGGGTCCCCTGATTCAGTTTTCACAGGTCCCTCAGCTCCCATCGCCTACAAAGAGGAGGAAAAGATGGAGTTCTCGCAGGTCCCTCAGCTCCCGTCGCCTACAAAGAGGAGGAAAAGATGGAGTTCTCGCAGGTCCCTCAGCTCCCGCCGCCTACAAAGGAGAGAATATCACCTCATGCAGAGGGCAGTCGAGTTGTGCTACACCAAAGAGCTCCACCATTTTCTAAGTCACAGGCCGCCTATGAGCAAGTCAAATGACGAGTCCACCAAGGAGCTCGTCACCAAGGCAGCTCACCACCAGAGAGCTCGTCACCAAGTAGCTCACCACTAGGGAGCTCGTCACCAAGTAGCTCACCACCAGGCAGTTCGCCACCAAGTATCTCACCACCAGGCAGTTCGCCACCAGGGAGCTCCATTATCCTCTGAGTCAGAGGCCACAAAGAGTTTTAATTAAGTAGTTTATACAAAAAAAAAAAAAAAAGTCCTTAGCCGCTTTAACTTTCCAAACAGATTTTTGACACCAAACAACGATAAACATGAGCCTCAACTCAATTCGCGGTGAATGGGAACATGAGTGCTTTGCTTTGGAGAATTCACCACGACTTACATCTATTTGGAGCCCTCCAAGGAGAAGTGGATACATTCAGTCTCTTCTCTTTTACCGACAGTGCTGTGCCCATGAATTTCTTCCAATCCTTGAGAATAAGTCTGATGTCATGGAGTTTGTTCTCCATACCAATACAGCAGTTGGCATGGATGGTGCAGACTTTGCTCATATCTTTACTTGGCTCACAAAATCCGCCAAAGTAGGTTGTGTCCAAGTACTTGATCTCCAATCCAATTTCTTCCACAAATCTATCTTTTTTAATCATCTCAAATACAGAAAGGTCGTCGGCGCCGGGATGTAGAAAGCTTGACATGTACCAGTATCTGTACAAGTCAATTGACCTGGCGTTGGATTTCACGAAGTTGAATCCTCCATCCGCCCGGTTGTTAATGTCCTCCGGATTTCCCATGTATATTTCACAGGCAGATGTAATATCGTGATCCAGACTGAAATGCGGGAATGGGTTTCTCAGCCACATTACATCTGCGTCCTGCAAAACAACTGATAAATTTGTTGTAACTTGTAAAACAAAATTATCCAAATAGGAACACCAAAGAAATTAAAGTATTACCGTGAAAACAAAGTTGTAGCCCAATTCCAGGACCGTGAGCAAGAAGGCGATTCTCCTGCGACTGAAGCTGAGGTAGTGATCTGCTGTCACCAACCGTTTCTCAGCAGCAAATTCGACGCCTGAAGCTGGGGTAGTGAGGAAATAACAGTGGGGATGTATGGATTTGCAGCGATCAAAAGCGTTGCGGTCCACGGCGACGACCACCAAATGGGTCAACAGGCGTTCTGTCCCTTCGCCAAGCCGGAAGCTCTGGAGGAAAAGGTCGATGACAGAGCCAGGACCCGCCCATGTCTCGTTCAAGGTCGTCAATATGACTGTCCTGTCTGCCATGGACGCGCTTCTTAACACACTGAGAAGCTCATCTTTATATTCTGGGTTCTGTACGTAACATGGAGCATATGCTTAGAATCGTCACGAGTAACAATACAATAGAATCATGAAAAAGACAGACGAGAAGAGGAAGAGAGAGTAAACACTCCAAGCAACCAAACAAAGAAAATGATAGAAAGATTAAGATGGGGAGAGCTTACAGATGGATTAGTCGAAACCCAATATTTGGCTACTCTAAGGATGTTTGCAGAAACATAGAAAAACAAGAACGCAACCAAAAGAATAGCAAAAATAGTAGGGAAAGATGGATGCCTGAAGCTCTTCGCCATCAAGACTCGAATTCTCTCCTAATTTTTCCAAGTTTTTCTTTTGCTAAAGAAGAGGGAAGGGGGGTGCAATTAAGATTTCTGAGGGGGATTTGCAGTACAAAAATCCCTTATTTTTTTATGCTTCACAGTTTCAAGTCTGACATGCCAATGCTGTCTTAATTGGGGGGTGGACAGAATCGTTGGATTCAGCAGATTCCCCGAAGATTTCGTCCTCTCCTTGTGTTCTTTCCCTCTATGCATGAATTTTGGCGATTTATTCCCTGAAATAAATTACATATACAAATACGTTTTAGAAATAAACAATTGACATGGATTAACTGAAATAAATGACAGTTCTGTGAATTACAAGCACCGCGATTCGATCTTTTCTCGTTTCATTCGCGGTAAATCTAGCCGTTAAAAGCTGATGCACCCAAAAGAAGCACGAAAAACATGTCTTAACCAAATGGACTTTATACTGTTTAGTTCTTAATGCAAAAAAGCTTAAAGCATCTTTTTAATTTCAGTATATATATATATATATATATATATACAATAAACATTAATGATTTTTATTACTGTTTATAAACTGACATTTTTTAAGACACTCATACTACGGGTCCACATAAATTGACCCTTATATGTCAAACCCGTAAAGTTATACGGTCATTAAATTCAACTTGAACCGTCTATTACTTTAATTTAACCATCCTTAGTAGTATTATTATTATTATTATTATTATTTTTAGTATTTAATTTAAATATTTTGTTATATAGTAATAATATTAACTAAATTTGTAATTATTTACTTAAAATATTTTTTCCAACCAAGTATAATTATTATATAATAGATTTGTTAATTCATAATTTGCATTTACGAATAAACATTAATAATTTGGCTTAACCATTTTAATTACTATTAATAAATATCGATTCTTATTTAAGGTTTGATTACTGCATTCGTAATTATCATGGGGCCCACTTTGAATAAACATTAATGATAACTGATGATTGTTATTGTGCTTTTTTATTATTTACATAATTAAGTACTTGATTATTGTTATTATTATTAATTATTTCTATAAATAACTGATTTTTTTATTATTTACTTAATTTAGTAATTTTCAGCTAGTAATTATTTGATTTATTCTTAATTCAATTTTTTAATTATTTATAATAGGCATTTAGGGTTGGCAATCAAAAATCCCATGTCTGTGTGGGGACCAGGAAAAGTTTATTTTCCTGGGTATCACTTACCTCCTAGGTGGGTAATTGGGGGAAAAGGTAGGGAAACTCATACAAGGTTTGTAAAGGCTTCCCTACCTTTCCTTTCCTTTCCCTACTTTTTCCTTGAAACCAAACACAACCCTAGTGGTAATTTGAATATTTTTTTATTCCATATCTTTATTGAGTAATATAGATTAATAATTATGGAATCAGTAATAATAATAAGTATGTTATTACTATTATTTACTAATAATATATTAATAATTATGAATAATTTAACTTTCACGAAATGAAATATTTATTGGAGAATAATAATAGTATTAATTATAATTACTTATAATAATAATGTAAATAATTAACACCAATTATATATTATAAAATAATTAATATGAGATAATATAAATATAAAATGAGTATATCTCAATTAATAATTAACATTATTAAAATACTTATTAATTATCATTCACTAATTAACATTTCAAAGTAATAATTGTCATTATTTATAATTAAGGAATTAATTATCAGTAAGTAATTATAATCGGTAATTAATTTTTATCAAAAATCATTATTATTAGTAATAATTAATTATAATTATTGATAATAATAATAATATAATTATATTAATGAATATAATAGTATAAATTATAATTACTGATAATAATAATAATAATATAATTAATTATCTTACATAAATGTGTGAATTATAATTTCTGACAATAATTCTAATATAAATAATTAACATTAAATATTTATTTTCAAAATAATTAATATGAGTTAATATAAAATATAAAATGATTATATTTTAATTATTAATTACCATTATAAAAATCGTTATTAATTATCATTCGGAATTAATAATGAGCAATATTATCATTAATCAATTATCAGTAATTAAGTATTAGCAGTAATTATTATAAGAAATTATTTTTTAAATTAAAAATGGGCAATATTACCAATAATTAATTATTATCAGTAATTAAGTAATAGCAGTAATTATTATAAAAAATTATTTTCAGTAATTAATTATTATTAGTGAGTAATTATTATTAGTAATTAATAACTTTCACTTAATTAATTAATTAAAGTAGTTAGCAGTAATTATTATTAGTAATCAATACTAGAATTAATTAATTAGTTTAGTAGTTAATAGTAATTAATAAGCATGTCGAATTAATAGCTACCTATTTAATGAAACTGGTTCGATTTGAAATGCATTAATCACGGTTTCCTTTTTTTAGGAAATGGTTGAGAGTGGGAGTTTCCACTTCTCACGACTCTGTATGGTGGTGGGCTTGACTCTACATGTTAGTGGGACCTATTCTTGAACTACCACTAATCAGAATTTCACATGTGTTTAGTGGGTTCTGTTCTTGAACTACCACTAACCAAAATTTCACACGTGTTTAGTGGGTTCTGTTTTTGAACTACCACTAATCAAAATTTGACATGTATCTATTTTGTTTAAAACTTTAAAAGAACAGGTGTCTAAATGGAAATGGGCCACGTGTCTGATTGAGGGAGACTTTGGTCTGAAAACCTTCCTTATATATATATATATAACGAACAGAAGCTGAAATAGTATCAGAAGCTGAAATAGTATCTTCTTGCAAACAATTCTTTGTAATGTTTGGAAAGCAAAAATTCATGAAATTCATGAAAACATCTTGGGAAGATGTAGGAAACATCCACATGATAATAAAATTATAAAAGAGGTGGCATTAAGTGTAAGTTGTCTTCAAGATCATATGGATCCCTCAGCAACCAGCAATCAGCCCAAGCAAGTATTTTTTTTTATATTTATTGATGATTGGTATGATCACATGTTAGAAAATTAATGCAGGGTTTGGATACTTCATCAAACATGCCTCCACTCAGTGATAAGTAACTAGCGGATAAACTTCAAAGAAAAAACAAGGATCGTAACTAGAAAGATCAAGAGTCCAGATTCAGTGGATCCTTAGTTCACAGGGCACGTGAACCCTTGAATAAGAGGCGTGCATGTCGACTCCTTAACATAACGGGTGTTTAATGTTAACTTCTATCCGTCCAATTCAATCGGACGCTAAAAGACAAAAAATGGAAAACATCTATACGATAATGCACCAGATTTGACGTTTTAGCTTCTTGCCGATAAACTGATTTTGGTACGACAGTGGTTTCAGGCCGGTGATAGAGACAGTTCAAATAAGTAATAATATTTTAGGCTGCGTTTAGAATCAGTGTAAAAATACACAATCAGAAAGTGGTCATTGCTTCATAGAAGAGTGAGTTTAGAACTGATGAGATTTTATATCGATTAACGACATAAAACTACACTCCATCCAAACGCATACAAAACCGAACTGGAGTATAATTTTACATTAATAATAATTACATCCTCTTTTCAAATGCATACAAAACCGAACTAATGTCTTGATTTACATCACATCCAAATACAGCCTAGGAAAAGAAAAAAAAGGAAGGAAGGTTGAGAGACAAAAGATTTTTTTTCGTTTTTCTGATGTGGCAAGTGAAGGAGCCGTAACCTCCATGGACGAAACTGGAATATCAAGACATCCAGGACACTTGGATTGTCTGGTTGCTCAACCTCAGATTCTTCTCTAACACATCCCTCTCGAACTCGATACCCGGATAAGAAGACGGGTATTATCGGGGGGAAATGCTACCTGGAATAACAATCCAAGATAAAATTATGGAGAAGAAGCAGCTGTATCTATTTCCATGGTTCGTTGTCTCTAAATGCTGTTGGAAATGGGATTGAAGGAGAGGGAGAATGCAATGGGTCGTTGAGGAGGAGCGCTAGGAAGAGAAGCAGCAGTAAAATTAACAGCATCAACAAAAGTAGCAATAATTCTTCGACAGCAACAAAGCAGCCGACGAGTCGGCCATGGAAGGGCAGACAGAAGAACTCGGATGCTCATTTTATGATCAATGAGAACACGATTGTGGACTCGGATTGCAGAGATACCAAAACCACTGTGATGATTAAGAACATACCCAAAAAGTACAAATGCTTTGCTCCCAAGTGCTCCATCATCTTTCCTTGTGATTACTATTTTAATTTGATAATAATTTATTTTTGTTTTGTGTTTCCAATTGGGTTATGTTTTTCTTTTTCGGGGCTTGGGGTTTGGGATGTGGTGCAGTCAGGCGTTGCTTTTGGACATGCTGGACAACCACTGCATACACTGCAACGAGCAGATTGGCGACGGCGATGATCAGCCATTTTGCTTATAAATATACCTAGCCGCTCAACAGACACATATGTAATCAATTTTCTCTTTGCTTGAATATAGTTTTTTTTTTGAAAAAGTATGGACAGGCCCAATGTAGATTTCTGATTTCCACTACAGAACTATAAACATTTAAAAGGTCAAAAAACCCTACTCTACACACCAATACCCACCTGTGAATTGGCATCAATTCCAAGCTGACATCCACCCAAACTGTACTTTGAGCCTACAAATTCTGATCCTGGGCTGATCGATCATTCTCCCTTTTTTTCTTCTACTAAAAAAAAAAAAATTAAAACTCCTCGTGCCTTTTCATAACTCTAATCCTGTCTACAACATCAGGTGGGTCATGCTTTAGCTCGGAAAGCGAGAAAGGCCTGGTTGAGTCGGGTTTGTTTGTTTCTAGTTTCCTCGACTGGATCTCTGATATTGCATCCCAGGACTTATTGGGTTTGTTGTAGCTTGACTTTTAGTTTTTTCAATAATATATCATTTTTATTTACCAAAAAAATGGAAGTTTGGATAATAACTAATATATAATAGGGTGAGTTACATACCTAGGTCAAGATTTTCCCTTTCATTGACATAGAACAGAAGTTCCTATCCTAATTTGTATGGATATGCAGTTCAAGTCTGCAACGGAAACAAAAACTCTGACAGAAAAAACTACGGAGAAAAACATCTTATGTTATTTACAGTGTATGACATGATACAACAGATCCTACTGGTTTTCATGGCCAACCGTCCTCAACATTGTACCCTCTTCAGTATCCAACAAATCTTCATTATCATCATCCAGATCTTCCAATTCATTGAGGATTGACTGATTGATCCTCTTACGAGATAGTCTCCTATGCTTCTTAAGTTCCAGCCGTGGTTCTGGTTGTTTGATACCCATATCCCCCACCTTGTACCTGCAAAATCCTTGGACATTTGAGCAAACAATTGGATATTTTCTGAATTCTGAGTTTCATTAATTATTAATTAAACAATACTTTGGTCAATCCATACAAATGGTGGACGGCCTTTAAACTTAAACATGACAGCAGTTAATTTATCAGATTGAGTGAATCTCTTGATAAATACTTAAAACCTCCCCTCAAAATACTCACAGCATGCCAGCAGTCTCTCGCATTGCTGAAATGACTGGCCTCCCCGTCTAGCTGGATTTACAGGAAAAGATGCCCTGCCGTTGGTCTACAATGAGTTACTGTTTTCACTTGATTACACATGACCTTAATTACCTCTAAGTACTCCTTTGAGATTCTCATAATCCCAAAAGAAACAAAGAGCACACTCAAGACAAACATGACCTCTTTTCTCCAGCATGGTAGGAGGGTGGAGGCCTTGAACGGAGTACTTCCCTTGCCCTCGTTGGGTTCGTGGCCTTCTTGGTTAGGTTCTATAAAGTGACAAGGCATTTGAGGATTTTGAAGGAAGTAGAGGGTTCAATTTATGCTTTCAGTACGTGGATAATCAGACTTGGTTAATATTTCACGAGTCTTTTCCCCTCATTATTATGGGCATTGTGGTCAGGAGGTCAACTTGAATTTAATCAATGCCGCCAAGAAAGAAGATTGAATAGGGTTATGGAGATTGGGGAATGATCAGTACAGGTGCAGAGGCAAAACTTTATTATATGAATGCTGCAGACTTGAAACAATATTGGCAAATCTTGTGAGAATGGATTACTTTGGGAGACAGAGAAGCTGTTTCAAGAACCCACAAACTTGTGATGTTAATACTTTTAAGATTTTGATTAATGCTATACTTCTAAGATTTTGATTAATGCTGTTTATTAGAATGAAGAAGTCTGTGCAATCAAGTCAGACTAAACTGGCCTTGGGATTTTCAGGGCTAGATCATGAGGAATGGCATTGTTGTTGCCCCTACTTTCCATAATTTGGCATTCAAAACTTTATGCAAGCGCAGCACCATATGCAAACACCTCTAAATGGCAAGACAAGTAGAAGATGGACATAGAGCATGACACAATCAATTTTTTTTTTCTAGAACAAATAAATCCATAGCACAATAATTTAAAAAAACAGACAATTATCAAAAAAGAATAATAATTTAAAGAAACAGATGTCATGCAAACTTGAGCTCCCATCACTAGGACTTTCTCTCTTTCCCGGTTGGTATCATTGAAATACTAGTAAGTGTGCACGTGCTTTGCACATGACAATTCTAGATGATGATACTGATAGCAATAATGTATTCAAAATTTTCTATAAACTTTATGTATTTTTTATTTTCTTTTTTTATTTTTATTTTTTTGTTTTTTACTATTAATCGGATGCAAATTGCAAAACCCAAATCTGATTACATAAACACCTCATCCAAATATGTGATAATTAGATTGAGTTGTGAAGTTTCAAGTATCATTGATAGGCCTATCTGGTTGAATAGACTCTTTTTTTTGTAATGTTTTATCTTCTGGTATATCTTTTTTTTGTTCATTTATCAAAAAAAAATATAAGATTTAAATAGAGGAAGTTGAATGAGGTGAAAAGTAATAGTACAATTTACAATTTAAACCTCACAATTAAATATGGACTAAATCCAAAACTGAGTATTTTGGTCAAAAGAAAGTTGCATAATCTTTTTCTATGTTTTTTTGTATTTCTATGTGTAAAAATAATTCTGATATGGATGAACTATTGATCTTTGCCCCAAACAATAACATATCATTTTTTGTCAGTTCTACATTATGTATTTCATTTTCATTATCAATAATTCTTGTTTATTATACTTATTTTTTAATTTGATTAGTAAAATATCATAAATGTGTCTAATTTTTCTTACATTTTTTTGTAATTTTTTATATTTATTTCTATTTTAAAAATGTTATTATCTAACTATGACTTTTAAGTATAAGACTTAATGAGAGGGGATTAAATGAGGTGGGAAGTAATAATTCAAGTTATTAAGTCACGAAGGAAGGAAGTCCTAGTGATCCTGAAAAAGGTGGAGGTGGAGGCATCTATGCTTTCTTAAGTGCACTAGCCATGTTTGCATTTCGTTTCTTGGTGTTTCTAGATTGCTGATTTTAAATGTGGATTCAACTCCGAACAAGTCTCACATGTATGTTTGGGCTTTCTTGTAATATTCACAAACAACTTAAAGTCTTTGGTTTAGTAATGTCAAGTGCAGAATGGTCAACAATTGGAGCCTATAGCATCACATGCCTCCTGTTCTCCTCACTATGTACTAAGCAACAATCTTTTTTTTTTATGAATGATGACAATTTTATTAAAACCAGAAAATTAAAGCATTACAGGATACCCATGGAGAGGCACGAGCTGTTACCTCTCCTTTCAAAGTATTACATCAAGTTAAAACAGAAATAAAATTACAGTGCAGCCCAAAATAAATGTTCCCTTGAAGCCCCTTGCTTAGCTAACCCATCCGATAAGGTGTTTGCTGTTCTTCCCACCCAAAGAGAGGTTTAGTCATGCTCCTTCTGAACCAATTAACTTTCCTCAATAAGTCTCAGTATTGCCATATAGCTGAGCCTGGACCTGTCAACCATCCTACAACAACTTTGGAATCTCCTTCAATTACCAAATTCCAAACTCCTAATTGGTTTGCAATCCGAATACCTTGTACAAGTGCTAACATCTCAGCTCTATTAGAGACTCCTATTCCCACGGGACCTGAAAACAAGGCTAAGATGTTACTGTCCTTATCTCTCAGCACCCCTCCTTTCCCCAATGGGCCTGGGTTTCCTTGGCTGCTACCATCAAAATTCAGCTTTACCCAACCTTCAGACGGAGGCACCCACGGTGCAGATATCCTGTCCTTGTATGACTATTAGCCACAACTGTCCAAATTTCTCCAAATATCATCTAAGCAACAATCTTGAGAAAGCATAATTTTATGCTACCAAGTGATATCATATTTCGAGTACAGACCCACCAAGAACTCAAAAGCACTTTTGCACTCTACATGCTTCCATTATTTCTATGTATCATTTTTGTTATCAGCATTATCCTTGGTACTTTTCTGTTATATTATTTCACGACAACTGATCCCTGCCAATGTGACTTAGGGGTCCAGTGAGAATAATTTCTACTCTGTTTAAGATTATTCACCTCAGCCCATAACTAGCACATGTGCCACATCCAGTGCTTCAGAGTAGGCTTCAGAAGCACTATCCCAGATTTCAAAATCTTCAATCTATAGCATTTATCTAATTTTTGGGATAACTCTAGGATTCTTTCCTATTCCTAGGCACCATAAATTTGAAGAAGAACAAGAACAAGAAAAGACATTTGAGGGAGAAGATGTGTGAGGTGTGGAGCCTCCTTTCAATATTTGTAGTTTTATGGTTTTACATAAAATAACCAAAATACCCTTGTTTGTATAATCCACCTAAATTACATATATTTCAACAGGTGACCCTGAAAATTTTGCACAATACCATGTGACAGAAACAATGAATGCAGAAAAATACCAAGTAACATCTTTTTTGACATTATATTTTTTTTCTGACAAGTATTTTTTTGACAGAATAAATTTCCCAAGCCCTATCAAGCAGCATCCAACTTTCTTAAATGCATACGCATCCCTTTGCTGACACTTATTTTCTCTCCTTTGCTAAGGATAGATGATGCAGCTTCCTCATCACCTACCTTAAGACTTCCTCATCCAACTCTCATGAACCTGGCCTGTAAACTCTACCCAAATCAACTCATTTCTCATGACCCTCAAAAGAAAACTGAACTTCTCAACACCCAAATCTCCAATCAAAAGCACTCACCTGTAAACTCTACCCAAATCAACTCRTTTCTCATGACCCTCAAAAGAAAACTGAACTTCTCAACACCCAAATCTCCAATCAAAACCACTTAGACAAATAATCATAGTCATCCTGAGCTTTATATGCAGCCATCCATGGTTCAAAGTATTGATACATGATACTTTGAACCGTGTAGTCATCAGTGTTTCTCTTCTTCTAACCTTGCAAGAGAAATAAAAAATTAAGAAATCCAACTTATTCCTTTTCTCCCAGAATAGAAAATGTAAGATTTCTCAGAAAAGACAGGAGTTTCTATTTTCCTTTTCCTTTACTTCTTTTAGAGAGACTTATTGGGATGGGAAAGGGCTCTCAGTATGGCTGGATTGCAGACTAACCTGCTACAATCAAATTCCCAGTCTATCATTGAGAATACTCAAATGTTATTGAAGCAATTTGATGCATTTTTATTGCAACTGTGGGATTCAGAATTACATTTCCCACAGCAGTTGAGATATTGATTCTGCTCTTAATAGACCAGGTGCATGCATTTCCGGTAGACCACCTAAGTTCTTGACTCTACTCTTGGTAAAGGATTACTGGATCAAAGGAAATCCAAATGAGCGACCAGGTAGGGTTTCAAAATCAAAGTTGGAGAGCAAAAAGGGTTTCTGTTTGTTAGCTCTATTGACTATTTCAACAGTTTTTCAGAATCCAAAGATCATGATCATTTGTTTATGGACAGCCTATAAGGGCATTTCAGATATTGGTCAAATCCCACTGGCTTATTTCAACAGTTTTCCAGAATCCAGAGGGAGAGGGATCATATGTTTGTTGACAACCCATACAGGCATTTCAAACATTGGTCGCATTCCATTAAGGTTGACAACTGAATTGTCTGAAAATGGATGTCAAAGACTCTTAAGGATAAGGGTGAAAGTGATAAGAGGTTCATGTATCTGTGAGAAATGTAAGGAGAGGTTTAACAACTGAATTGCTTGATTTGACAGTGGATGTTTAAGGATTAGCGTAAAAGTGATTAGAAGTATTTTACTACTGCATTTGTCAGAAACGTTGCAAACCTGTGATGCCATTATAATAGTTCTGTATTAAAACCCAAGGCTGTCAAATAAATGCCACCAAAGGATAGAAAAGACTGCATCTAAGCATGTAAACATTTTTTTCATTAAGGCAGGTTGGTCTCGCATGCAATTCTAATTATAAGAATAATAGTAACCAAAATCATGCATGACAGCCAAATATTCATGCATATTTGTTTAACTAATAATTGCAAAGTTCCATTTAACCTACCTCACATCACCTTCTCTTTTGGTTCCTAACGTCCTTAATTGAAACTCTTCTCTAATTTTAATCTCATCAAGCAGTTGTAGATAGTATGCATATCTTTCCCAGTCCCCCTTCACCACGCACCCTGGTTCACCAAGATGCAAGCAATCATTGAATGAGCATTTTATAGGCTCACTCTCTATAACCATTTTCCTGATCTGGAGACAAAATTAAAGATGGATTATCAGTATAAACCCACACAAAGAACAGAATTTAAACAATAGGAAATATAATGCATATATTCACTGCACAAACCTCTGGAAACATTTGTGCAAGGGATTTCTTTGTTACTTTCATCAGACTAGGCTGGTTAAATCCTGGGGTATCAGCAAGGTATCCACCTCCAGATAGGGGAAGTAATGAAACATGACGAGTCGTATGCTTCCCTCTACCACTTCTTGTTGACACTTCACCAACTCGCTGCTCTTCAAACCACTTGCTGCCTTCAATCTGAAAATTGAGCATGATCACAAAATGCAGAATAACCACAAAATATGATTTTTAAGGAAGCCTATAAGAGGCAGAAAGCCAGAAACCCACAGGCTCAAACCAGTTATCCATTTCTGAAGCACCATAACCACGTTGGTTGCTTCTCAGAGCATTTATCAGGCTAGATTTTCCAACCCCACTTGGACCCACAATCACAGTTGTCTGTTCTTTCAAAATGAATTCAAGAGAATCCAATCCATGTTTGGACTCTACACTGCAAAGAAGTGGCTCATAGCCCCAATCACGAAGCCTTGCTTTCCATGCCAATTGTGTCTGCAACAAAGGGAGTAGTGAGCTTCACAACAAATATGAAAGGAAACAACACCTTGCAACAGAAGCAGCAAACAAAACTTAGATTTCCTAATCTGTGTTGCCATGCAATCTGAGTCAGTCCTGAATATAAAGGTTTAACTGGTCAGCCTTAATAAAAAAGGAGTACCAAAAAACCAATAAATTGATGAACAAAACCTACATTTGAGTAAACGCAAGGGCATGCATATGTGTCCATCTAATGACATTCTTGGCAATAACATGCCCCTTACCCCTAGAAAAGGGGGGTATTTACAAAACACCAGAAAAGATGCCACGTTTTGCAGGGTTGGATCTTGTACTTCCACAAACACCAGAAAAGAACTAAACACCAAAAAGGTGGATATGTGGTGTGAGTATATCTTGAATTATGATGAAGATGTTCCTAATCTCAGTACATAGCCTCATAGATGTGCAATACTAGGCACACCTGGCATGAGAGTAATTTAAATGCTGATTTTGGCCCTGTTTGGGTAGACTTTTATAAAGCACTTTCGTTCTTTTGAAAGAAGTCGGCTTTTTATACTTTGGTGATTCACGCAATGCACAGGCTTGTGTTATCCTTGTTTTCTAGAGACGGGCAGCCAAACTTGGATCCAGGCCACTCTTTTTGTTCTATGTGGTAATGTAGATACCTGCTGCCTACTATTGGATTTTGAATTAATGTTAAAGTTAATTGAACAGCTGCCACTCTTTTTTTTACCTACTGATGTTACCAAGAATAGCTCTTTTTTTATGTGGAGTTTAATTATGGCCAAAGACTTTAATTGTTCTATTATTTTTTATTTTTAATTTTCCTTTTGCTTACATTGATGGACGAGCTGTGGTGGGATTTTATGTAGGAAAGGGATTTCTGAATCTGACATAGAAAATTCTTCAATTAACATTTTACTAAATAAAAAAGAAATTTTGAATGTTTTTGATATTTTGTTTCTAAATTCCTTTTGCTCCATATATGTTAAAAGGGCACACGTAGAGAGTGAGAATTTGTAAGAGTAGTGTCCTTTTGTAAGAGGAAACCATGAAAAAATAAGTAGGGTGAGATTTCCCACTATCACTTTTTCTCTCTTAAATTCCAAAAAAAAGGAGAAATTTTTCAAGGGGTTGGGAAAGACGAAGAACCTTCCATACAAAAATAGTCCTAGCATACGCATAAGACTGCTTTTAAACATGGAATGACACTAAGTAGTTCCATACTCACGATGCACGTCTGCTAATATTGCAAAATTTATGGATATTAGACGAAATATTGAGTAGCTGATAGTGATTAAGTATCTGTTTTTTTTTTGGATAAATAACGATGATTAAGTTAAGTATCTGTTGAAAATAGTGATAAAATCGTGTATTGGCAATTTAAAGCAAACTTAAACAACTTAATCGACAAAGAGAAGGCCCCAAAGAACTAAGTTTAATTTTAACCACTAAATAAATTTACCAAGCAGTGTAAATAAGCCATCAGACCTCTTCGTCAACAAGGTCCGACTTATTCAAAGCAAGTGTGAGAGGAATCCCCGTTGATTCGGCCTCAACCAAGAACCTCGTGAGCGAGAACGGTTCAGGCTTTGGCTGCTCCATCGAAAAAAGCACCAGCAAATGATCAACATTAGCAACCGGAGGATCAGCAATCTCTGAACTCCTGTCGAAAACATTTTCGATCATCCCCCTCCGATCCACCCAATCAATCGAGCCTACCAACACCCTATCCCCAACCAAAACCCTCCTCTTGATCTTCTTCAAAAGAGCCCTAACGACGCATAGTATTTCAACTCCAATTTTCGGTTCCTCTTCTTCCTTGGACTCTAAAAGTTCGGTGAAAGTTCTAGGCTTTTCCGGCTCACAGGTTGATTGGACAATGACTCTCATGAAATTGGCCTGTGCAGCAGCAACCATTCCAATCGCTTGGTTCTGCGAGAGAGGAGGCCCGTCATCCAAAGAGAGAACGGGAGAGAGAGACGATATTTCCTTGACGTTGTCTCTTGCTTTGAGGATGTTCTTGTTAGGTTGGGGTTTCCTGTAGATATTAGGGTTCTGTCGAGCAGCCATGCAAACAAACCTGAAGGTCGAGAGTCGAAAAGAGACATGGCGGAGATAATCGCTGAAAGCTGGAAGAGAGGGCGCCGCTCGATGGCGAAGGATGGAAATGGTGGAAACTCGCATTGGTGGAGCTTGGCTGCCAGTCTTTCGGCTTCTTGCTTTGAAGCGTGGTAGGACTCAGGACAGAGAGAGAGAGAGAGAGAGAGAGAGAGTGGTTATCCCATATGGTCGGACAGGCATTCAGTGGAAGGAAGGAATAGCAATTTTCGCCGTCGGTGGGGAAGGGTTTGATTTATCCATTTCTGTTGTAGGCTTGTAGCGGTTGAGGGGAGGATCACATCGGACCAGTCTTGTGCCTGCTGGGAGTGTCCGAAATGTTTCGCGGTGCGCATTGTGCCCTTGTGCGATTGCCGTTCGACGGTTCGAGACTTCGAGTTGCTTCTGTTTGGTGATATCCTATTCCTGTGTGCCTCGCTTGAAAGATACGGTGTGACATATCACTCCTGTGGCTCTGTGCGACGTGTTCTATTTCCTTTCGGTGTCGCACCTCTGGTCATTTAGCCAGGTGGCGCGTCGTCCTAAGACCGGGACCAGCCGGAAACACACTCGTGAGTCATGGCTCACCCGTTCGGCCTTTCCTGCAAAATACTTGTTGTTTTTATTTTGGATAAATTACAAAGACCCCCTTACTATGGGGTCTGTGACAAAGACCCCTGTACTTTCTTTTGCGATAAAGACCCACCTTACTATGACTTTGAGACAAAAACCCCTTCCATTAATTTTTAATCTCCATACTACCCTTCTAATATCTATTCGGACAATTACGAGAAACACTGTTCATCTTCCCCAAAATCTATACATACACTGTAGAAAACAACGCAACTGAGCAAGAAAAGATTTCTTTAAACTTATCACATCGCAATATCTGTGTCTCGATAAAGTCATCGAATGCACGAAGCGAAGATCCTTTCTGCCCGTCTTACTCCATTACAGCCAGCTTCATCTCCCCTCTCAATCCCTTAGCTTTCCTTCTCATCTCCTCGCCTTCCTCACCCTCCATCACCAATTTGACTATCCTCGCCACATCTCCGCCTTCGACTATCGCATCGCTCCCCCTGCCAATTCCATGCACGCACCAGCTCCTCCTCCAACAATTTCGAATTGTAGAATTGCTCCGCCGCAAGAAGCCACCAGATGATGGGCACTCCTCTTCTCAAGCTCTCTAACACCGAATTCCAACCACAGTGGCTCAGAAATGCACCCGTCGATGTGTGAGACAGTATGTCAATTTGAGGCGCCCAGTTATGCACCAGCAGACCCTGTTTGCTCTCTTTCATTCTTTCTTGGAACCTATCCGGCAACCATTCTTCTCTGAAACTCTCCCTACCGTCGAACCCAGTCGGATTCCTAAGTGCCCATATGAAAGGCCTCCACTCTGTTCAAACCCATTTGCGAGCTCCTTCATCTGAGCGACGGTAACGCTGTTCTACGACCCAAAGGACCCGTACAACACTGAATTGGGTGGGTGCAGGTTAAGCCATTCGATGCATGCTTCGGGGGAAAGCCCAGGCCGTTTCCCTCCTCTTTCGTGTTCGTCACGGGAACTGGGAAGCAGAGGCCCAATCGCCCATACGGGTTTGCCTGTTGATTGTGCCTAGTTGTGGAGGCTTGACCTCTCGAGCACTTCGACGGTGTTCCAGAGACTCCCGTCGGATCTCCGGCAGCAAGCCGCCTGTCGTTTGACGAATTCCGATCCTCTTTTATCCTTGGATGAATAAAGCGAGCAGGGAGATTCAACCCTTTCCTTGATTTGGGTGACGCCTGTTTTAAGGTCGTTTATTTATGTTTCTTTATTTTCATTTTGTGATTATTAAATGCTAATACTCGATTCACCCCTTCCTGGCTTTCCCTCCCTTCCCTCCTCTCTCTCGTGCTCGATCACTGGATAAGCTAGGATGGTGTTGGGACTGAGCTTCATGCTCAATATCTGCTGTGTTTTTTTTATGAAAAGAAGAAGGGGAAGGGGAAGAAGAGAGATCGGGGAGTGAGAGAGGGAGGAATTCGGAAATCCGCCACCACTCCAACAGCTACCATCGCTGCTGTTTGTGTGTCGTGAGTAGACCTGTTCATGGGCCGCGTGGCCCGACGGCCCGGCCCGGCCCCTGGACGGGCTTGAACAGGCTTTTTGGCCCGTAGGTTTAACCTCGGGCCAAAAAGCTCGGCCCGCATAAAATTCGAGCCGGGTTCGGGCTTTGCCAAAATAGCCCGGCCCGAGCCCGACCCAACCCGACCTATAGTTAAACCTAAGTAAAAACCCTATGTGATGTCCATTTGAATAAATTTTTTGATTTAAGAAGGTTATTGATTCACTTGTAGGCCCATTGTTCATTTAAATAAGGAAAAAAACATCTGAATTAAAATAGATAATGTCCATTTGAATAGGGAAAAATTCGAATTTCTTTTATTAGGTCGGGCTTCGGGCTTTTTATTAAGGCCGGGCTCAGGCCCAAGTTGTAGGCCCGTTGGTCGGGTCGGGCTCAAGCTCGGGCCTAACATTTTTCTGTTAATAAAGAGTAAAAGCCCGGCCCGGCCCGGCCCATGAACAGGTCTAGTCGTGAGGTCGGGAATAACTAACAGAAGGGGGTTTTTGTCTCACGGTTATAATATAGTGGGTTTTTGTCGTAAAAGAAAGTATAGGAGGTTTTATCACGGATCCCATAGTACAGGGGGGTTTTTGTAACTTATCTTTTTATTTTTTAGAAAAATGCCCGATTAGCCCCTGTATTTTGGGCCTAGTGCCACTTTGATTCCCGAATTTTAAAATACAACAGTTCAGTACACAAACTTTAAAAACATGACAATCTAGTACCTAATGTTAACTAGTTATTAACCAATCGTTAAATTACATTTGAAAAAGATATAAATGCCCTTCGAGTGTCATCAAATTTTCTTTATCAACTATCCAAACATTAATAAAAAATTAACAGTCTCATTCAAACGTGACCCCAACTTTCTTGAATGGAAAAGGTTATTTGGGACTATTAATTTTTTGTCAATGTTTAGATGGTTGATAAAGAAAATTAAATAACATTTGAAGGGCATTTGTGTCTTTTTTCAAATGCCACTTAACGACTAGTTAACGGCAAGTACTAGATTGTCATATTTTAAAAGTGTGTGTATTGAATTATCGCATTTTAAAGTTCGGAGACCAAAGTGACACTAGCAAAGTACAAGGTATTAATCGGGAATTTTCCCTATTTTTTAACTGAATAGTTGATAGATCACTATTTGTTGTTTGTTGATAAAGCCCTTCATTGGTACCCGGAAATAATAAATAAATAAATAAAGCCTTTCATAAATAACATGTTAATGTTTTATGAGAAAACATTGTTGTATGCATGACTGTTTGTTGCATCATTTGCTCAGAAAACAGCTCTTTTTTTAGTTTGGCATTGATGCTGTCACATAGGTTGTTTCTAGGAAAAATAACAATGGTTTTGTTTGGTAATAGTGATGTATGATATTTTTTAGCATTGATCTATATTGTCTAACACCCAAGAAGATGCCACATTGTTATACCACAAGTAAAAAATAGACTTGATGATGCACAATCTGGCCGGTCTTAGCTGTTGACGATCTTGCCTCTGGAGTGAGTAACAGGAACCTGAAATGGGAGAAGATAAGCTCCGGGGAGAACCCGGCGTAAGGGCTCCGAAGCTCAAGTTAGAATCCTTTAGAGGTAAGAATAACCAGATAG